TGGGTGAATCCTTGTCTCCTTCTAGTACTACCTGATTGGATAGTCGCACATAAATGACGAGAAGAAGGGCGTCATTTATATGCGATTATCCAATCAGGTAGTACTAGAAGGAGACAAGGATTCACCCAACGCACCTCTCTCTCGGCTACAGCCAGAACTATAGATCACTCATTCCAGTATGTATAGAGTTCACTGAACTCTACTGATGTGTACACCTTTATCAGTGACAAGTAACGTTACTCGATTAATTATTAAGATTCTAAAACTTGTAATGAGAATCGAATTGCATGTTGAAGCGACGGCTCTTTATCAACGTGTATATAGATATTTCACGTGACCAACTCATCTAAAACATGAATGTAAACCGTGGTACTTTGTCGCGGTTACATCTCGTTTACGCACCGCGCTTTTAACTATCTATCGATTTCGTGTTCGGGGATAATCTGTTCGGGGAGAGAAATTTGTGCGTCTTCGGCGTTCACGGCGTAATTCGCTCTGTCGTTCTTCGCAATTCGAACGGGCAGGAAGTAAAGAACGTCTCTTACTGCATTTCACGGTATTTTTTACATCGCGTACGGGAGTGTCCGAAATTTCGCGCGATCGATTTTCGCGAGTGAGTGGTGTGAGTGTAAGTGCAACAAGAGAATCTGAGAGGAGGAGCAGGGTTAGGCGTCATCAGGTAACAGCAGAGAAATCGTAAGGTAAGTGTCTTACATTTTTGTTATTTGCTACTTGTGCAAAATGAATCATCTGTTCTGTGCTTTTATTTTATTTATTCAAATGATTCCAACGAGCATTCGAATAAGTGTTAGAGACAAAACCATACGTATAAAATGTTGTGTGTTCATATTTAAAAGAAAGACTTTCAGTATTCTATATAATTGTTTTAATAAATACCCATTTTTTTAAATATAAAATATAAAGTATATTTAATACAATTCTTTCGATTTTGCATAATTAGTCTATAATGATCGTATACATTTTTGTATTGTTACAGTTTAACATATACATATGTATAGTTAGCGATGTACTTTGCTGTTGCGACTCGTATCAGTGAGTGACATATTACTTTTTATTTTAAAGAGACGTTGCGCATATGATAGGTGCAGAAAAATAAAAATTTTGCAGTTCTGACACGATATCCTATGCCCGGGTACGAAATCTAGCAGTCTCGTGTCACCCGAAACGCGAAAGTCATTCTCGACGACGAGATGCATCACGCAAAAAGATCGCAAGTCCCGAAAATTAATTATTTTGTTTAAACGCGATATCCTATGCCCTATCCTATTTCGTTTAAACGCGATATCCTATGCCCCGGCACGAAATCTATTGCCGCGCGCCATCTATTGCCGCTCGAGGGGGTTACGAGCCACCACCCGCAATAGATAATTGTCGCGTCGTCGGTATTGCAACAAGCAGCACTTACCTTGCGACGGCGGATCCCACGATGACCGATCGATAATCGTTATGGCGTCGCCGGCGTCATGTGATTCCGTCATGTGACTCCGTCATGTGGTCCCTCGTTGGATCGGTTGTTGAGTTGCTCCCGCGAAGTAATCCCAATTGGTCACAACTCACTTAACACCTCACAATAGAATATGCACTATCATATATATATATCGCATTGTATACGATATCACACACAGTATCACCAATTTTACTCTGTAAGCCGCATCGGCGACTTAACACTCGCGACGGATGAAATTCACTCTCGAGACACACGCTCGCGACACTCGACACTCCCGTTCGCGGTGCACTCTCTACTTTTTCGGCGGTTTGAGGCATGCGAGACGCGACAACCGAACTTCCGAGTAGCCGCGGAGCGGCCGATGGCGACTATGGCTCACTCACGACGACCGAGATTTCCCGGCACGCGTCTCCCGGCGGCTGCTTGAGCGCCACAAACGAGCTTGCGAACGCGCCACTCACTCACGACACCCCGGACACGGGGCTCGCCCTCTCGGCGAGCCGAAATCGACGGAAACGCGGAGCGGATTCTCGCGCCCGACCGACATTTTCTCCGCGTCCAACAACTGAACGTTCGCTAGATTCATAACGGTTGCAACTTTCAAACGTGAAAGCAGCGGCCAATCAGGCAGCGAGCTTTCAAGCATTGATCGTGCAATGTCAAGATCATGCAGCGAGCCCATCTCATGTAATCACAGGTCTGTTCGAATTGCATGCGTACGCGTATAAATATGGAGTGCGTTCGGTTTCATGCATAATGCGCATGATTATAAGTACAGGAGCATCATACAAAAATTATACATTTTAAAATCGACACCGTACAATAAACGCAACTGAGTTAATAGTTAATCAAGGTGCAATCGTCAAAAAAGAATAAAAAATTCAACGTCTAAAGTCAATGTATTTTCATTTATATGTATATAAATTCCGTAAAACGTATAATGGTCTAGTTTACATCGTGCACTTGATACGCGTATCAAGTAGTGTATTTGAGCTGATCAGCCAATGATTAAACTGATTTACTAGTTATTTACTATTTGATACGCGTACTAAGTGATCGATGTAAACTAGGCCATTAACTATAATTAAATAATAATCGATATATGCTAATTAATGTAGTCGATATAATATTTCATTTATTATTTCGCGCTTTCAACCTAGAAACAGCCAACAAGTTATACTCGAAGCAACGAGAGATTCCATGCGATACAAGATGTGTACGAATACGAGCATCAATTAAAGAAGCAATTATCGTCCGTAATTATCGTAATGAAGAAGTAATTTCAAGTTGGCTAGTGCCTGGATTCTTGGATGTATAAATCTCGTGTGAATCGCGCTAAATATCTGTGTTGCCGACTAATCGTCGATCATCGATGACAAATCGCGGGGAATCAGCAATCACGCGATAGCATCGATCAATAATTATACGCAGAGAGCACTCGCGGTTTCTTCCCGCACTTGTCGCGAACGCATGTCAAGAAATAATGAGATATGCAGAGCGGCGCGGGAATAACCGACTTGTTCGACTGACTCGCGCCAACTGATTCGGCACGATAGACTGTTTTCGACCGAGGTGTTTACGAGGTACGTCATTTCTTGGAAACCGGCGCTCGGCTTTCGACCGAGGTGTTTACAACATTCGTTCTATAGCGCTGCGTCATTTCTTGGAATCGATGCTCGGTTTTTTGGGCTCGACGAAACATGATCACGCCATACGCAAAATTAAGGACGTGTGTCGGCTGTAATCGTAGCCAAAACTCTTCGCCCACGTTCGGTTTTCTTTCCGTATAGCGCGACCGTCTCCCTACTTCGCGACTTTTTGCGTAAATTAGACACGTACACTAGCACGCTTTGTGAAAAACGAAGATCGAACAATGCCTTTGTAAATGCATTGGTCGACACGCTTCGAAATATCGTCAGATGGAGAATTTCGAATTACAATTACGCATAAACGGTACGGCAACGTATCCCTACCTTGTAATATATCATTTCTAATATTATTATGCATCATAGATTAGTTTTTTAGCAAAATATATAAACAATTTCTGTCACAATACATTAAAATATCCCTCCAGAACACGTTTCGCGTATACTATACGATCAGTAACTTTGATACTGAATATCTCGATTTTGGTACGGACACGGTTTGTAAAATTGAGCAGGCATATAGATAACACTATTAATAGCATATGGTCCAAATTTGAAGCAAAGACATAGAAAATCGATTTACCGATGAACGCCCTGAAGCCCGTTGCAGACAATGTTATTTTTCCTGCTGGATTGCTTGCAACTTTTTAGTTAATTACTAGGAATCCTGAATGCTGAGTGGTGCAATGATAGTAATTTACTAAATCGCTAGCAATCCAGCAGAAAAAATAGCATCGTCTGCAGTGGGCTTTAGTCACGTGGGCGACAGTCAATCGAGTCGCGGTTTTGCCCGCGCCGCTTCACATATCGTATTATTCTTTCTTGATACGTGTCGCGACAAGTACAGAAAGAAGCCACGATCGCTCTCTGCGAATAATTATGTGATCAATATCGTCGTGTGATCGCTGAATCGCCGTGATTCGCCATCGATGCTCGGTTAGTCGGCGAGACAGATATCTAGCGCGATTCATACATGAGATCAGAGGGTCGATTACGGTTCTCAGATTGGGTAAAAATGACGAAAGTGAGTAAAGCCCGTATCAGATGACGGATTGGGATTGGGATTAGATTGAAATTTAACCAATCACAGTAAAGCCCGTATCAGACTACGGATTGAGATTGGGATTAGACTGAAATTTAACCAATCAGAGTAAAGCCCGTATCAGACTACGGATTGAGATTGGGATTAGATTGAAATTTGACCAATCAGAGTAAAAGTTACTGAACTTGAGCTTAGTAAACTTTACTGTGATTGGTTAAATTTCAATCTAATCCCAATCCCAATCCGTAGTCTGATACGGGCTTTATTCTGATTGGTTAAATTTCAATCTAATCCCAATCTCAATCCGTAGTCTGATACGGGCTTTTAAAGCCTATCACACAATGCCAGGCAACAGCCAACAGGAACAGGGAATAGAATTTCTGACGCGTTGGATTGGTTGGAAGAAAATTTCCGACGAATCCAACGCGTCAAAAATTCCTGCTAAGGGCAACTTTCACCAAGCTCCGGTTAACCCAACCGGTCTAGTAATCTGATGAGAAATCTGATGAGAATCTGAGAAAATATATCAGATTCGGTTGCAATCCTGCATGTTACTAGACCGGTTGGGTTAACCGGAGCTTGGTGAAAGTTGCCCTAATGCCCGATTTCTTCACATCCAGTTATGTTACGGCTAAAGTTAAACGGGAGATAACTACCAGATCCATGCACGTGATTGGCCAAAACTTGAGATTAACCTCCGGATAATTTTATCGGGAAGTGAAAAAATCGGCCATAAGTATTCCTTGTTGATTAGTAGAAAGTATTTGCTAGACATTCCGCTGGATGGCAGCACACGTCTGGCTCATCTAAAGTTTTCTTATCTAGTGACTTTAGGCTCATCTCTCCAGATTCATTCCAAGCAGAAAGAAACCTCTATTGTCGAGACGAGGACGTGGACGATAGTACGAGTACGAGATACGAGATTCGTCTCGTGTTTCCTGCGGCACGTCAGTTCGTTTATAAACAGCTGCGTCAAAATGGTAAATAAGGAGAAGACGAAGAGCGCCATAAAGGATTTGTGCAAGAATGACAAGTATTCGATTTTGCTTCCCACTTACAATGAAGTAGAGAATTTACCGATAATAATATGGCTTATCGTGAAGTATATGGAGGAGAGGTAACTAGACCTAACCTATAACCAGTCAGAGTTTATGTAGAATTAGTGAAATAAAATGAAAACTATTAACCTTAAGCTGAACATCTTATTAAGCAATAATCCTTAATGTTACAGCGAGCTTTCCTACGAAATTATTGTGATAGACGACGGTTCTCCAGACGGGACCCTGGACATGGCGAAGCAACTGCAACGCGTCTACGGCGACGACAAGATAATCTTGAAGCCCAGAGAAAAGAAATTAGGACTAGGGACTGCTTACATGCACGGGATTACATATGCAACCGGAAATTTTATCATTATCATGGACGCTGATTTATCTCATCACGTATGCATTGCGTTTATGAACAAATAGAAAGGTACGAATGATAGGTGAGTCTGTAAAAAAGATCTTTTCTTTTTCAGCCCAAATTTATTCCAAAAATGGTCGAGTTACAGCGGTATCTCAACCTGGATGTAGTCAGCGGTACGAGATATGCGCAGGGCGGTGGTGTTTACGGCTGGGATTTCAAAAGGAAATTAATCAGTAGGACTGCAAATTTTGTAACTCAGATTCTATTGAGACCTGGCGCAAGTGATTTAACTGGTAGTTTTAGGTGATGAGATTTTTACAAACTTGTATAACAGAATCTGTGTTACTTGTACTTTTTGTACTTGGTATCTTCGCTTTCTCTTTCTCCAATTTATCCCGTTTCAGAAATCTGTGAAAGTTTCAAGTAACACGAACAAATCTGATTACGCAAGAGACTAATGTATTCTCTAACACGAGATTTTATAATTTTAGGCTTTACAAAAAGGATGTATTGGAAAAGCTGATACAGTGTTGTGTATCCAAAGGATATGTATTCCAAATGGAGATGATAGTCAGAGCTAGACAGTTAAATTATACAATAGGGGAAGTGCCAATCACATTCGTCGACAGAGTCTATGGTCAATCCAAGTTGGGTGGTTCAGAAATTTTTCAGTTCGCCAAGGGCCTTCTGTATCTTTTCGCTACCACGTAATAGGAAAGATCTGTAGGATAAGAAAAAAATTATTCTTTCAGATCAAATTTAATTATTTGGACAGCTAGCCAAATGCATTTAAAGATTTTGTACTACTTATCCAAAGAACACGTATGTCTAAATGACATCTTTAAGTCGTCTTTCAGATATGTATGTTTAAAAGACGACTTAAAGACGTATGGAAAACCATTGTAATATGAATGTTTATCAAAAAAGATTGTGTATGTGTATATATTCAAAACATCTTAAGATAAATTGTTAAAAAATCACTTTTTGCTTGTACTTTTTGTACTCTAAATCTTCTCTTTCTCCAATTTATCCTGTTTCAGAAATTTTTGAAAGTTTCAAGCAATACGAACAAATACAATTACACAATTGCACAATACATTAAAGTTGTATATGTAGTAGTGTGGCTTCGATGAGTACGTATACACACATGTGTCGCTGAATCCTGTCCGGGTTTATGGCGGAATATCACGTAATTGGAACCGCAAAGGGTCCGACAGAGAGTAGACCTAGTTATACTATAATACTACTAGACTGCTGCGTCGACACGTGTGTCACTGACAGACCGAAGTACACACATAGACGTATAACATATAGACTGCGTGTTTGGCTGAAGCAGTGTACAAACTTTAGAAAGAGACAACATACTTTGAGTGGTCGCCCTCTGTCATTCCCCTTGCTCTTCTCTTACCCACTACTTTACTAGATAGAGGTGAGGCGACGACTCAACTATCAGCTATCTCGTTCTAAAGTTTGTACACGTTCTCAACACGGAAGAGGTAGGGGACGCTCAGTCTATTCTTATTATGTCTATGTGCACGCATCTATTTTATTTACCTAGCATGACATGGCGGAACTTCTGCCTCACTTTTCAGCTCGAAGGCCGCAGTCTAGGAGTGTATGGAAGCCTATGATTTTCGCGCGAAGGCCAATGAAAGTTGCCTCAAGATGACACGTGCGTCTACACGTGGCCGTGAACGACGCAGAGGAGCATGCGTATACGACGCTTCCCGTGGGCTCGTCCACCCTCGCCGCACCCTCTGACGTCACGCAGCCTCCATTTATTGATCCATTACGAAGTTACAGTCTATATTTCTCTGCTATGAGCCGACTCGAGTAACATGCAAGACGCGAGTAGACTACAACAGCAGAGAATATCGGCATTTATGTTAGTAAGCAAACGGTAGATTCTTCATAATTTATCGGGGATTCTCAAATCTTACCGTAGCGTTCGCGATTAATTCACGCCACGTTTTCCCGAGAAAAATTCCAATTTCTACCAAAAAGAATGAACTGCCTTAACGAGCGACGTTTCCAAATAATCCAAATAAATTCCAAAAATTCCAAATAAAAAACAAAAATATTAGTTCCCGTCAGCCCGAGTTATTTCCTTCGAAATCAAAAGCTCGGGCGTTAAAAATTTTCTAGATCGAATAGAAATATCGCTCGGCGGGGCGGCTAAGATATCGAATATGAAGATTGAAAGAGAATATACAGCTATTCGTAATTTTAATCAAGAAATGTATTTTCATACGCGACCGCGAAACTCGCGTTTAATTCCGATTTGCCCCTCGCGGAATCTAAAATAGACAAGCGGGAAGAAGCGAAGATCGATTCGTTCATCCCTCAACGACGGCGGAAAGTAAATTCGCAAGCTTCCGATTTCCGATTCCCCTCCCAACCCCGAGAACGCGTGTTCGGTTATTCGCGGAAATCCGCATCGGCTCCATGGCAACCTCGCGGCGCCGGCCGCGGCAGCGCGTGCAAAACCGCGTCGCAACATTCACGAAGGCACGCATGCCTCCTCGCCAGGAAAATCCGTCGAGCCGCTAGAGCGGAGAGAGACGGAGGCGAGTGCGGAGCAGTTCTGTCGCAAGCTTCGCCGCGGCTGGACGCGCGAGTGGGGCGTCCTGCGCGCCGGGGTGAAACTTGCCAAGCTCCCCCTTTATCGAGCTTGCGGATGGCTGTGCCTTTTTAGATTTCGACGTGCCTCTCCGTTCCTCCCCGCTCGCGCATGTTTCCGTGCGCGACACTTCGAAGCCGTTGATCGTCGGCCACCGCTTTTCCCGCGACGACCAGCAACCCCTGCGCAACATGCCCAGGAAAGTCGGATTCAACGTCGTCTACGCCACGAGTAAGGCGGCCACACAGGCCTCCACGATTGCCGAAGCGAAACGCGCGCGAACCTCGAGCGACGGCGCCGCGGAAGTGGCTGGATATTGCGAGAACCGAGATTTTCCCAACGAAAAGCAGGACTCGGTGGAGAGTCTCGTTGGGCAGTGATTAGCCCGACTGCTTCCCAGCGAGAAATGATTCGACATCAACACTGTCAAATTCAACGTCGATTCGGCTGGGCATCGTTTCGACATCGATTGACGAGTCACTTCTCGCTGGGTTTAGGCCCGGTCTACAATGAGTTGTTAGTCGTTAGTCAGAAGTCGGAACTATATGTCGGTCCTTTTTCTTCCACCCAGAAAGGAAAAGGATCAACATATAGTTGCGACTTCTGACTAACGACTAACGACTCATTGTAGACCGGGCCTTAGCGTTCCGGCTTAGGTTCTGGACGGTGCGGCGGTTGCTCGTCGCGCGGTGTCGCGGTAACCAAGATGACGCGAGTGATTCGAGGCCGTTCCCGAAGATCATCAATTAAAGCTGGTTACGGTCCAGCTGATAGAATCTACAGCTCGGGATAGGCAATTTCTCAAATGTTCTCCAGATTTACATCGCGCTCTGAAAGTCCTGCGACCCGCGCGGCTCTTGGATCATTTCCAAATCCCGAGTGACAGGAGCGAAGAGATCTCGCTGCGTTTTCGCGCTCCTGTCATTCGGGAACATCGATTTCCGCCGCGAGACGTGCGGCACCCCCGCGGCTCGCGACGAGGTGCACGTGTCCGCGGCCTGGTCGACGCGACGGGAGCAATAATCCGTGCCGTAGCCGCGGGGTAACTTTTTAATAAAAAATGCATCAACGACGTAGTGAATTGAGGGAGCGAGGGCCTGGCACGGCTCGGAGCGGCGCGTTCCGCGAAGTCGTAAATCGTGCCGCGATATCGCGTGACGACGGGCCTTTACCCCCCCGAGACGCTTCCCCTCTGAAGGGCCCCTGCACGACGAGACGTCGAGGACCGATCCCACCTTCCCTGACGAAAATAATGTGCTTATAAGAAGTTTGTTTAAATGTTGAGTCAATGTTCTATTTGAGTTGTAAAACATTTATTGAATTGTTTGCGGGATATAAATTTTAACATGGAGTTGTTTATGTTCACGGTTACAAACGTTCGAATTGCGTTTAATGATACAATGTCAAACGTTTACATTATATAGTAGAGACCCTGTAATCAGAGACTGGCCATAAGGGAGTTCGTCAAATTCCTGCGAGTGAGATAGCCTATGTTTCTCTCTCACTCGCAGGAATTTGACGAACTCCCTTACGGCCAGTCTCTGACTATGGGTCTCTACATTATAGTTTTCTACGAGTTTGTACAATGTTATTGTCAGTAAAGAATTAACCAGGTGTTTGAAACGTACTTCCAAACGGTGTAACCATCAATAAAACTCTTCATAAACAATGCAACTATTGAAGAAACTCTTCATAAATATATATAAACATCGTCTCTCACTTAAAGTTTTCGCCAGGGTTTCGCGGAAGCGCACGCGGAATACCGCGAGTACCGCGGATCGTGAATGAAAATGTACATGCAACTGCGATCGGGGGAGAAAAGTATCTGAGCATTAAGTAATATCCAACGCCACATGTAACCACGTGCGTCAATAATTAAGTAACGTATAGTAAGAACTTGCACGAGCGTGCTCGCTCGACATTTGACTTTCGATTGACGTCTCGACGGAAGGGACTCGCGGGTGTAGGCATTTGAAGAATGTTGGTATATTACATCGCGATTATTAATCCGAGTTAGCTTGCAACGAGGGCTAAACCGCTGACCAAAATCACGTACACAATGCCTACTAATGCCCAGTGGGCATTACTTTGCCTTACTATCTTATTTTATCTTGCCTTATCTTTTATATTTTTTTAGATTCTTTATAATGCCCAAGCGAGGCTAAATAACACCCACTAATGCCCAAAAAATGCCTACACGAAGAAAATTTTCTTTTGAAATTTATCCCGAAAATTGTACAATCGTGGGACAACGCGGCCTTTCAAAGAATTTTGTGAGAGTTTGCTGAAATTTCACCGTACATTTCACTGGTAATTACACATATTATACATTTTGTTAGAAAAATATACGGTAAACTTTCAAAAAACTCTCATAAATTTGTTGTCCCACGATCATATGATTTTCAGGATAAATTTTAAGAGAACATTTTCCGTGTAGCAATGCTCAGTAATGCCCGAAATCCATACACTACAATGCCCTCAATGGTTTGCCCCTCGGCTTGCAATTTATTTACTCGCACGCTATCAGAAAAGCTAATAAAATTGAGGAGTTTAGTGGAAGAGCGACTCGAGTCGACCAAGTTTTTCGTATGCTACAAAAGCTAAGCTAGAAGCTTCATAATTGTATTCAGCAGATCAATATCTATAAAATGTGCACTTGGAATCTGTGATCAATATAAACACGCGAGTTTCCCGAACTTCGAAGGAATAAAATTTTTACGAAAACTTAAACAGGCTTAAACTGTTCTCTCACCAAATTCCTCAATTATACCGCAGCGGTTTTGTCGTTTTAATCGTGAAAATAATTTTCAGCGTCGTTTAACGAAGACGCATGAAGACATATTCATTTGAAATTGCAACAAAATGGAAAAGAGCTTCAGAATAATGTTTCTTTTAGCGTAGTAGATGGGACTAATTGTAAGCTTTGGGTTTCATTCGGTTTCTGAAATGTATTTTCAAGGCGAGGAGGATAGGCACTCGTCGTTAGAGCTTAACGTCCACGGGCCGACAGTGAGAGGTTGGCAGAGCGCGAGAAACTGCGTGTATCCTCAGGAACTGATTCTGCGACTTCACGGGCCCACAAAGCTTACGAGAATACAGGTCTTGGCGCATCAGTACCTCATACGTGAGTGAAAATTTTAAGAGGCTACGCTACTCAAACTGCACTTAAACTTATCTTCCAAAAATGTGACAATTTATAGGGAAATTATTAATAGTTACGTCAATGAAAAACTGATATTTAAAAAATAGAATCAGAAATTACACTTTTATTAACTTATATGTATATATTTATTATATAGAGGAAAGTCCCCTATTATGACATAGGCTCCTAATATGATATAGCGGAGTTTCTGCTGAATTAATAGACATCATCTGTTGGTTCCACTATGAATTTATTGCCCTTGGAGCGAAATCTGTTTAGTGGAAAATTGATTGTTGGGTCGTGTAATCGTTGCAAAAACAGACTTGTAATTAAATTTGGACGTTAAAAACCTACTATCTCATATTAGAATCCTATTTCATAATAGAGGACTTTCCTCTAGTTCTATTTATTAACTTGAAAGTAAGTTAATAAAATGCTTGAAACACAAAATAGGCATAAATGTTAAAAATGTTAATCACTATTCACGTCACGTTATAAATGTAATAAAAAAATAACTGTGAAGGAGGACCAGTTTTCCTTCAGTGCAGTTGAAAGCATTATTGTCCGTTAAAACGACATTACGACTGAAAAGCAATTTGCCGACAATGGTAATCGAATTAACGAGCCTACCTTGATTCCCCGGGGCTACATCGTCTCCTCTTCTTCATCCTCCGGCTATTCCGTCGGAAATGAAAACGTACCGGGCGGCAAGAGAATTGTGTTCCAGTTTTCGATATAATAAATTTACGGGCAGACGTAGATCTTCCGGTGAAATACCATTCCGATGCAATTTCCGCGAGGAATGTAAACTGCTACGTTTGCTTTGATTGTAGCCGAGAAGCTGGAGATCTGGACATCGAGGGAGGAAAATGCATCCGCTTCGACGGACTTCAGTTACCTGGGCTACATCACGCTGTCCGACAATGCGTCGACCCTTTACAAGAGCAGGGAGCTGAAAAGCGTGGCTCTCCCGGAAACGGAAGCGTTGTCGCTGAAGCTCAGGCTACACAAACCGCACAGTAATGCGCACAACACCTACTGTCAGGTACGCGAGGCTCATTGATTAATTTTATAGAGTTTTAATAAAAACTGAAGTAAATATGTAGCCCGACAAGTTTGAATGAAATGAGTTTAACAAGATAAAAGTTAAATTTGAGATGATTAAATTAGCGTACGGATAAATTTATTAAAAGTTTTAGACAAAGTTTTATTTCTCTATTAGGTTGGCCTTATAGCCATAAATATACTTGGCGAGCCTTATGGCCAGGAATTAACCGGACAAGGAGACGCCCCGTACAATCCGCATTACAACTCGCCTTACGACGATTTGGCGTTCGAGATGTACGTCGACCGGGAAGTGGCGAAAATCATAAGGCAAATGGAAATGAAGAAGTTGCTGGCGGTGGAAGAAGAGAGATTCGAGTACGCCTCGAAATTGAAGGTGGCCATGGAGAATCTGAGGAAAGCGGGCGAGCGCCTGGGCAAGTACGAGTTGGAGAAGAAGTACGCCATAGCCCTGGAGGATTACGATAAAGCCAAGGCTAAAAAGGCGCAGGCTCAGCAGTACAGACAGCAGGTCTATCAATCGTTGGAGATACACAATCTGCTCGAGATCCATGGGGTGAGTAGCGTTTGCAACTTCTTCGAGGCTTCTAATAAGTGATGATAATGATCGTCAAGTTGTTAAAAAAATGATGCAGCCTGTGGAGAAGAATAATCTGTCGAGTGCGGCGGACAAGGAGCCGACGTCGACCGACAACTCGAACACAGCGACGTTGCCCGACGACGCGACATCTCCACCGAGACTCATTCCACCTAGTCGCGACGGTGCTGTATCGCCAATTGGCCCCGCACATCAACCACCCGTGTCGCCATTACGTCAGAAGACCAACAGTCCCGGTATAATCTGTCGAGGGATACACTCAGGGAGAAATGATTTGTCGAAACGATGTCGATTCAATCGACGAGTCATTTCTCGCTGGGTATGGTGCCTCTTGATCTTGACGCGATTTAGATTCTTCGAATTTTTAGATATTTACGTAACGTCAAATTTTCGCACTTCTCAGAGGTAACCGACAACCCTACAAATGGTGTCCTCGAGAAGCAGAGCTGTAACAAGGGATCCCTAAATAGGCGGAAAACTAAGTCGGCGGGCCCGGCTCTTCGATCGAGTTACGAAGCCTACGAAGAAAGGACCATCCCCGCTCTAAGGCAGTAAGACAGCGCAACGTTAAAATATCATAACTCTATCGAAACTCTTTAATAAACTTTCGTCGGTATTCACGTTTAGTTCGCACACAAACGAGTTTACGAGGGAGTGTCACTTGGACAGCGCAGACATAAAAGTTACCTCAAAACTCAACGACAGGGAGAAGAAACAAGCGGCGTTACCTATCACAGTTTTCGGGATGGAGATGGTAACGACAAAGTTGTTTGCAAAGCTCGGATACAGGACAAGTGATATAACGGTAAACGCACGCAGGTGGAAAAGTTCTACTCGAAACAATTCACGGATAAGGAGGAGGGACTGATGCTACTGAAGGAGGAATTGAAGACGTTCGATTCGGCGGCTTCGAAACATTCTCCGAACAAAACGGCCAGGGCGGCGATTCTATTGTTGCACAGGGCTCTGAGGGACAAAGTCTTCAGCGTGTACAGCTTGGCCGCGCAGCTCATCCGAATTTTCTTCGCCGAGTTCGCCGCGGACAGGTAATCCTCTTCTCAACGTACAAACACTGTTCCTACATTCCGAGGCTCAGCATTTAACTGACGACTTGTTTAGAGTGTCTTCAACTGAGATCGCCAGAAGCGTCGAACGTCTGCTACCAGAACTTCTGACAAAGTCCGGAGACACCACTCCGAGGATACACAATATGGCAGTGCACACAATCCTCAGCATGGCAGACTGCAAATGCGTGCGGGAGTTGCACATAATACCGGTACACCTGACCAGACCTGTCAGCAGCAGCACACATCAGAGGCTTGCTCTGAGCAGACTGGAGATGGTGGAGCAATTGATACTGAGCCACGGCATCTCCACGGAGAAACAAAGGTGATTCTGAACGATAGTCTCAGGACGCTCGAACTTGCATGAGGCATGTTTACCAAATGTTTTGAGGAGTATCGGACCTCTGCCGTCGAAACGCAGTCCTTCTGACTCCCGTCTAATCGACCCGCAGAGGTCCTTCCTCAAGCCAGACTCTGTGTTCTTAAAACGCAATTACTCTGATAAGGTATTGTAACTGTTGTAGCGGGCTGACTTGTCGGACATTATCCGAATTAGGTTCTTCCGGTCTGCACCACCCGGCTGAGGCGGTGCGAAAGGTCTCCGAGAGGATCCTCGTGTTGGTGTACAAGGTCAATCCCAGACTGGTGCGAAAGCAATTGCCGCCTGACGATGACATAACACGACGGAACCTGCTGTATCGCCAGCTCTTCCATGAATTTGATTTGATCGATCTTCAGGTACGCGATTACTCGGATACGTAAAATGGAGATTCGTAATTACATGTGCGAATGATTGCAGAGAAAGAAGGAAGCCGAATCCACCCATAAAGCAACGACGACGCCTACGCGAACTAGATCTACGGAAAATAATGTTACTAATTTAACCAAGTCACCCTCGAGATCGAGCCCGGTCGTGAGTACCGGAAGTTCAACGAGTATCACGTCTCCGTCCGAAAATAGTATCGATCATAAGGGAGATAAGTGCGTACAGTGCGAATTAAATTCATCAGTCGCAAAAGATATGGAGAATCCTAATATTTGTTTGCGCGTACTTTGCAGAATGTGCATATTTTGCCTGTCGAAGGGTCAAGTGTACTCCGAGGAAGGTCTGAACATACATTACTGGAGAACGTGCCCTATGTTAACGAAATGTGAAGCGTGTAAGCAAGTCGTAGAAATTTCTTATTTGAACCTGCATTTGTTAAGTGAGTACATGAGAATTTAATACGTTTAATTTATAATACACGAAAATATTCTTTTACATAATTGAGAGCGTATGATCAAATTGATAACTTTATATCTATCGAAATTATATATTAGATGTGATCAATTTTTTTTACAGATGAATGCGACATGAGGAGTAATTATGTAAAATGCGACACGTGCAAACAGGCGGTGCATGAAAATGCGTTCGAGAATCATAGACAAGACAAAAAATGCACAAGTACTATTTTATCTTTCCGATACGATGTGATAATAGAGATCGAGTGAAGCAGGAATTTAAATCTTCATTTTTATTTTAGAACCTATAGAGGGGTATGAACGGTGTCCCCTATGTTCAGCTTTGGTCAATCAAAACAAATGGAGGGAACACCTCATGGGGGAACATCCGTGTGTAAATAATCCACGAAACAAGATCGGGAAAAGCTGTAAGTTACAATTTCCTTGATAAAAGATAAATTATTCAAACTATTTGTAATAAATCTAGGAAGAATCCTATGTAAAGTTTTTATGAGAGCATAAGAGAGCTTTAGGATAGTAAAATAAACTATGTTTTAATTTTAACGAAACGCAAAATTTCCATACGATTCTAGGTTCAAAATCACCGTCTAATTCGCAAAATCTCAGCGGCAAATTAACATCACCGACGGGTAGGGATTACTAGCATCAGGCAACAACCTCGAAGCCAATGGAGGAATTCGATAAGTCTTAGAGAAGAGGATTTTGAGCCTTATTTATTTTATTTTATAATTTATATATATGTTATATATGAACTGTCCAACGTTTTTTCATATTTGTAACTACATTGAAATGATTTTTTATAGCAGAACCCATCCTTTATTAGTAGAGATTCATATAGAGCGGATTTATTTGTAAGTTGAAAATCCTTATCTATATAGCGTCACCTATATATATATATATATATATATATATATATATATATATATATATATATATATATATATATATATATATATAGGTGACACGATTATTAATTAAGCTAGTTTGCGGAATCATGTGGAAGATATGACTTGGTTAAGATGAAAGATATTAGAAGTTGTTAACAGGTCTCATTCGTTTTATCGTTGTTGCACAATATTCAAGGAAATGCAGGAGTGCATCAATTATTAAAGGCAGTGATATTAGATGTTACAAAAACATCAATCATTTCAGGATTAATGATTCCTTGCATCCGGCCATATTTATAATGAAAATTTGTACTATATTATACATTATGGCGAGATGCGTCCAATAGGCATTAGGAAATGGAGAGCTCTTTACCGCTCAAAAACCATTAGATTACGCATGTAATTTCATAAAGTAGTTATTTCATAGAAAATGGGCAGTAAAAATAACCATTTTATCGCTCCATCGTCGATATTTTTATCCCAGAAAATCTTTTTTTTCTTTTCGTTTATAGTATAATTTACTTGTCAATATCAATACTTAATTATCAGATCGGATTGAAAAATTTCCATCAAATAAAAGATACAGGTATATATATATATATATTATATATATATATATATATGTGTAGGAAATTTAAAAAGTTAAGAGTCTTATTTATATCGTAACGAATAAGTCAATTCATTATGTTTCAATTGATATCTCTGTGGTCATCAATCCTTTGTATGCTATCCTTGTTCTTCGTTGCAACTTTTCCATTAATCTTCAGTTTTACTTTCATTTTCAATTTTAGTTTTAACATCACCGTTGTCGTCCTCGGCTACTGCAGCGAGACCAATTGCCGCGCGATTTTCCTCGAATTTATTTATCTCTGTAGAATTACAATGTAAACAATAGGATATATTCTTTTATGATAGTACAACATTATTACAAGCAACATACCAAATTTAGAGCAATCCGCTCCTAATAGCCGTAAATAATGAATTGCGTCGCAAGTAGGCACGTATGCCCTAAGAGACATTATTCCCCTCCACCCTACCAACTGGAGATTTAGGCGATTTAGATTGTCAGTCTTCTCTTCTTTGTATAAAAGTATACAACTTCCAGTTGCTTAAATTAAACATATTTTTCAAGTAATATTTATAAATTATCGTGTAAAAAAGTATAAAGAAGCAAAGAAATGCACTGATATATTTACCAAATTCCTTGAGCCGTTCCTGAGTGTCTGAATTTAATTTTACAATTTCAGGTGGCGTGTGTGGATCGTCACTTTGTAAAAGCATTATCAAATCTTCTTTCGAGACCTGAAGCTTCCTGCCATCACTTATATAGCGAATGATACTATGCATCCCTTCTTGAGCAAGTCGGAAGGCGCAATTCATATTTTTATTGTCGCACCGCACGAATGTTTTGACGCCAGTGTTTATAAATTTCACTTTATTCTCATTTGATATCACTATGTCACGGATTGCCGGAGACGTGAAATAAATATTTTTCTTTTTCCCTTCGTGACATCTTACTAATAGACAACGTGGATTTAGAGCGTCAGATATACCGTAAAAATCTCTGAAAACGTATCGAATGATATGTGAAAAGCAGTATTAAATAGTACAAGGGAAGAACAAAACCGGAACTCACTTAATAGACTGCCACACGTCTTCAGTTTCGTCTTTGAAGAAGACAAATGGATCTTCTCTGTAACCGACAATCCTTCTTCGCTTTTTCTGCGATTCCCGTGACTTCTTTTCTTCTTCTAATATTCTTTTTCCGTTTTCTGAAAACTTTGCATCTTGTGAAGCTTCTTCTTGAAGACCGTGTTCATCCTTGTTTTCATTATCAGCTGCATCCTGTACGTTTTGATTTAATACACAAGTTTCAGCTTCCCATGGTAAAGATTTTATCTTCTCCAACACTGCCACGAAAAAACCTCCAGTATCTTGATGATGTGGCAATATTCTCATGCTATAAAATTAGTGAACATATAATCCACAGATATATGTTTTTACTTCTTAATTTATTTGTGATATTTACCAACGTTCAAGATGAAACTTGGAGGCTTCGTTTGCTTCTGGAGGAAACATTTTCGGCCGTACTTGTGTCTGCCATTGTTCTGGAACGTCATCCCAGCTATCGTAATATTGTAAATTTTTAGATGCCGGTTTCCAATGTGTGACACCTAATTTCAAAATAGACCATTGTACATATATCTTTAAAGACTCGCAAATATCATAGACATATTTTACATTTTGCTTAAAACTAACCAGGATCGCATACTAATCCTGGCACTAAATCTCTACAATCAACCAATTGTACTGAATCTCCAGTCTCACGAAGAAGCCTGTGAAGCACCGCTTCATTTTCAATGGGGTTTAGTGAACATGTGGAGTACACCATCCTCCCTCCAACCGCTAGTAATTCTAAGCCACGCTTTGCTATTCTGTACTGAATCCTATAAAATATTTCAAAATTAATATTTTCTACATTATTATTTACATAATTCTACAACAAATTGTGTTAATTTGTACCCATGAAGATTGCTGCCATTGGCAGGACTCCATTTGCACCAGATATCTGGATTCTTTCGCATAGTGCCGTCACCGCTACACGGAACATCCGCGAGTATCCTGTCAAATCTATCAAAGAAACAAAGCTTACATGAGAATGCTCGGTGTGAAGATAATTATTTGAATGTCGTAAAGTTTAAACTCCTACTTCAATACATCCTTTGTACCATCTGGTCCCGTAATCATAAAGTTTGGCATAATCGACGAATCGTGGTTGGTAATAAGAATGTTTGGGCTGTTCAGTCTCTTAGCTTGATGCACCAACATGTAGCATCGATTGTTGTCAACGTCATTAGCTATTACGAAACCCTCTGCGACAAAATTTACATGTCAACATTCGCACTACGCTTATTCGCTTTCATAGTACAGTTGATCAACTACCTGGAGGAACGTTTCCCTCGTCGGCATGTATCATCTCTATAAGTTGCGCAGTCTTTGATCCTGGCGCCGCGCACATATCGAGAACTTTGTGTGCAGGTTTAACATCTAGGACCAAAGGGGGAACCATGCTGACCACCTCCTGCCTGCTGATGCTGCCATTGTTAGTTTCGGCAATGAGGAAATTGTGCAGCCTAAAGTACGCCTCGGATCGTCGGATGTCTTTCCTAGTTAATTGCAACTGCCAAGCTAGTTGCTCGGGATAAAAGGGTAAACTGTGCAATATAGTCTTGGCTTGACCGCCAGCGTCCTCCTTATCGCCGTCCAGATTTGCGTTCAGGATCCCCTTGAAGAAGTCACCTTTGATTATTTCCAACAAGGCCTTAGCCTCGGCCTTCGAGCCGGTAATGCGGAAAGCAACTGGCAGATTGGTCCTCATAGTGCTGATGAAAGCGTCCCATTTGTCTTCCGGCACTATTCCCTGCGTCTTGTAGTAATTCTCAAAGTCCTTGTTCTCCCGAATGATTTCCGCGTAGCTTCTGTGAGGAGTACTGTCCCACTCGTCTTTTTTCTACGAATATCGATGACATGTTAAAGAGCACTCGCACTATCACCGAATATTAAATCAGATAAGGACAAATGGAACGTGTTGTTTCAAAGAAGGCACAAATGTGTACAAACATACTACCGTATCGTATTGTTCTCTGGTAAACGTAAACCATAACCTCTTATAGATCTTTCATCTCCAGTATCAATGGATAATCGTACCTTTTGTTTCTCACGGCGCTTCTCGGCGAAGTTCTTCTTCGGCTTGTTCTTTCGACCTTTACCCATTTCTCCGTTAAAGTACGTGCTTTCGACTAGTTAACGCTAATAACCACGCAAGATGACTAGCTCGCCACCGCAAACACGTGACACGTGCTGTCTTTATAACTGGACTAGTGCGTTACAATGATCGGCAAAGAGGCCGCCCTATCTAAAATTCCAAGAATTAAAATTCCGACAATTTTAAACTTCAAATCGCGAAAATTAGGACGAAGTATTAGGAGAACATGATCGGCAAAGAGGTCGTTTTATCTAACATTCTTAACATTCCAAGAATTTTTTAAAATTCTGAATATTTCAAACTTCAAATCGCGAAAACCGTTAATCTCGAAAACTGGCAAAGTATTAGGAAAACATGATCGACAAAGAGGTGTGGCACTATCTGAAATTCCTAGAATCTGAATTTCCGAGGATTATTTCGCGAAAAATCGAAAAAGGAGAACATAACTGGTAAGAAGGTAGCACTAAAATTTCAATTAAAATTTTCACGAGTTTACATTAGAAGAAAAGATTCATGATTGAGTCTCTGATGGTTACTTTTCATTTGGCGCTTGCAACTCTGGCCCATTGGAATCTCTCTTCGCTTACGCGCAGGACGTGTAGACAGATATTAAAAAACATATGTATATTTATATAGAAACGTAATATTTAAACACGCGACGAATTCAAACGTGAATTTTCACCGCGGAAGCCCGGCAGGTGTATGTAATAAATCTTTATTAAAACAAGTATACATACAATTCTATTAAATTTAATATGTACGCTTGATACGTCATTAACGAATCATTTCGTGTGTAGGCAATTGAATATAATTTAAACATCTATCCAGTTAAGAAATAATCTCACGACTATTGATCTCCGTGTTGCAACAACAATCGCGATAATTGATCCCGAGTTAGCGACTCATTTCTCGCTTCTAATTTAGAATCTTGTCTGCGCAGAACGAAAATTAAGTCAATCGAAAACAATGTTAACTATTGTTGGTGCAACCGACCTATATTATCTATATTATAGAAATGTTTTATTTACAAAATTACAACGCAATTCCGCACTGTTAAAGGACCAGGCCTTGGTAGGAGAGTCCATCGGAGTCTGGCGATTCCATCCTATTTCTCAAGTGTTCTAACGTATTTGCTAAATGTTTCTGTATTTGATCAGTTTCCTCGCTAGCTTCCAGATTGGGAAGCTCCTCTCGAATTTTCGCAATCACTTGATTCAATATTTGCACGGTCACCTGAAACAAAGATCAATTTAGAAAGTGGCAGCGCAAACAAAATAATAGGTAAGTTAACATGCTACTGTGTGATCTTACAGCCGTGTTTCCTTTTTCGTAGAAGTAAATGTAATGATTCAGAAGCTCCACGTACAGTTGCACCTGCACAGACGTGTCCATGCACTGGCTCGCTATCCTAATACCTTTCTTCAAGCAGTCCAATACTTTACCGCCTTCTTGCATCTGAAAATTGTATTGTGTCTCTCGTACAAATTACTTCGACGTGTACTTCGTGTGATCAGTACTAGGTTTATATTTACCTCTTTTCCGCCCGTAGCCAAAGATTTTCCGGACCAAAATATGTGCGAACAAGTGGCGACTCCTCTGCATTGATCGGGCTTCCTCAATAATTTGCTGGCGTATAATGCGCACTGATTGCGCACAGGCTCTGCGTTCTCCTCACCAAAGCAACTCATTTGCTCGAACGTGGCGATGATCAAGGTGATCGCCGCGAGCTGTGCCTTCGAGTCGCTTATCTCATCCTCGTATATCGAGAACGCTTGGCTCATGAATTCGTAAGCGACCATTTCGAAATTATCGAAACGAATCTCGCCGATCGCTATCGCGCCTTGCAGAAACAATCTTAAGGGTAGTTCGGCTAATTCAGCCTTCATGAGCGCTGTGATAGTCGTATGGCAGAATTGAAAAATTTTTTGACACTTTTTCTGCCACATATCATCCTGAAAGAAAAAAAGGAAGGAACATTGGTTTTATCATTGTTCCAATGACTTTATCTTACTAAGATGTACAAGCTACAAACCTGATCTTTCAATGCTTTGTATGTAAAAGCCAATTGATAACTTTGGAAAACTATGGGAGGCAGAGTGAACTTTATTCTTTTGTTACCGCCAGCACTGAAATGCTTCCTTGCAGCACTTAATATCATATATTGCTGGTCTGGCGTTTCTGATTTGAAGTGATGTATTAGTCTTCCAAGCAATCCCTGTTCCTCGGCAAAGTCTTCAGGATCTTCCTCTATATTGGGTTGATCCGGTTGATCTTGGACCAAGGAGGATACCATGAAGAGCACCGCGTCCACTTGCTCTTGCGTCGGTATCAATGTTTCGTTATCCAAAATATTAGTTATTATGTATATAGCTAATGATTTCCGGCCCTCGTAGTCGAAATAATCCAAGAGTGGCGCGTAGTGTTCGAGCTTAAGCACAGTTAATATATTCTTATAATTATCTACGGGAATTTTCATTAATCTAACTAGTTCTCTTGAAACGGCGCTATTATACTCCAACCTGGGGAAAAATTATGCATATTCACATGTAATGTACAGTGCAAACTTAATTACTTAACATGTCTAATAAGCTATACTCACTTATCGACATTTTGTTTCTGGAATATTTGGACTGTAGTAAACAAAACCTTATCTACATAATCTACACGATCAGGATAACACTTATGTGCTAAGTTTATGAGCGCCACTTGAAGGGACACGATATCTTCGGGAGGCATATCTTGTCTCGTCTATAAAAAACAAAATTTTATACAAATACACAAGATGAATTAAGTACGCTTTAATTAATAACGTATTGTTTTGTGACTATTCTCAGACTTAAACTAACGAGTAAACTAAGGAATGTTCTTGATATCATGGTATAATTATCAAACATTGTGCAGTAACTGTCTAATCATCGAATAGCCTTCTCTGATACTTTGAGCATTTGGTTTTACTTCATCTTCGGTAGGCTGCTAACCTTACCGAAGGAAACCTCCGACCTGGAGGGCTAAAGGGGTATATTTAAATACATTTATTGATTCCCCTTAGGGCTACAAGGCAAGGAACGAAGGAACGTGCCCAAACCCTCTTATAACACCTCTTTCTCTCTATATCCACTTCGCTACGTGGCGATCGAACGAAAAACCAATAATGTTTTGCTTGGTTTTGAACCTGAATCTTTGGATTACCAGACCAGCGCACAATCCTCTGCGCCACGATTGCCACACTTAAAGGGGTATATGTATGTGGCAGAATACCCTCGGTGGTTGCCACTTCTCTCGGAGAGGTGGCGTACGTTCATTTATTTACTAAGCAGCGCACGTTTTCTCTGCACCACGCTCGTGACGCTCAACAATGAAATTTATTCAAATTAACTGATACCTGTATGATAGTTGCAATCTGGTCACTAAATACGTCAAACAGTTTGACGTCTTGTGGAATGCCTGGCACTTGGTTGGGACTTCCTGGCCCTCCAACGCCGTCGGATCGTTGACTGAAGGCTGCGAGTCGATCGATCAGCGATATAATTATGTTTTTAACATTTACTCCATTTTGCAATTCCGCGCAGGACTTGAGAAATGCGTTTAACGTTTGTAAATGAAATTCATCGGGAAAGACCTAGACGGGCGAGAGAAAACAGTTAATTTTTGTTATCGCTGTTATATCTAAAATACAACATCTGTGGCATATAAAAAGATTTACTTGAATTATACACTCCATAAGATACTCCTGTGCTATGGCGTCCCTGCAACTAACCACTTGCTCCAAGATCCCTGGTAAGACAAGCTAAAAGCAGGGTAATATTTGACAAAATCCAGTTAAAAAATGGAGGGAAAATGCGCACCTTCTTGTATTTATCCAACGTTACAGATTCCAGTTGGCTAAGTCGCACAAGATTCGTCCCGACGAGAATTCGAAGCTCCTCCCTTTCCCTCTCTCTCCTTTCTTTATCCCTACTGTGACCTTGATGTTGCATACGTACCCACAATTTGTTCATCTCCGCGAAATTCATCAGAACGAAGTCTATGCTATCGCGAACCTGAAAATAAAATTACGAGAATTATTGCGCACACGGGGGAGAAACTTTGCGATTTGCGAGATACGTACAGTCCCGTCTTCGTCGTCCTCGGTAACGTCCGGCAGGATGTTCCTCGTGCATTGCAACAAATAATTCCTTAAGAACAAACCGCGCAGTGGATGCTGAACGCCCCTGCACATCTCCACGAGATCTCTCAAAAGGTCTCTCTTCAAGCCGGGCGTTGTCTTGATATAGACGAGACCGACGGTGATGAGTAAGTAGCTGAAATATCAATCGTTGAAATGATCTGGTTTTTCAATGTAAAAATAATCAATGCACAGAATCGCAAGGCAGATACGTACAGTCTGGGCACAATATTGCCAACGTACTGTACCAATTCGTAGAGATCCGTAACTTTTCTCCCCTTTTGAAACTCGTCCAGCAGATAAAGTTCCAAGTGCCGCAGCTCATCTGTGATCGCCATATCTGATAGTGAATGTTATAAGGAATATTTACACTTGTCAAACATCCTAGCCAGATACTCATACTGAATAGTACACTCGGTGACGTTGCAACGTGCTTAGGTCCGATTTTACCAAACGTCGTTTAACTTTAATCTTAGTTTAATTTGTTTGTCTCTTTCTAAAGAAACAGTTGAAAAGAGACAAAGAACGAAATAAGCTAAGCTTCAAGTTAAACAACGTTGGTGAAACCGGACCTTAGGCGCCCCTCCAAATTTTGCACCCTACGCTGGAGCGTACATTGCATACGCTTCAAGCTTTGTCACGAGGCATTTGACAAGGATACACAATTCGTAATAGCTCTTCGGACTCAAAAGGGAGGTCCTGAGCTCCCCCAACATGGTAGAGGCGTGCTTAAGCGCGTCCATCAGCTTGGACTTGTCCAGACAGTGCTTCATCTGAAAGGCCTGGACCTTCACCACGCCGATCGCGTCTTCCAGCAGCTTCTCTTGCTCCTCCATCCCCGTGATAGCGGGTGTCATTGGCTGCGAGAAAAACAAAGATACCTACCAGGAACACCGGGTAGTACCATGCTAGGTAAGCCATCCAACTCAAGCATGCACTACGGACAGATAGCCAGTGTGAACACCAGTTACTTCCATATTGCTGACAAAAATGTTAGCACCTTGCTGTGCATCCACGTTGTCTATTGCGCTGTCGTTTGCTAGCATTTGACGTTGGAAATGAAAGAATGGAAAATTGGAAAATTTGCAAGCCAGGCGTAACAGATATAACACGTTTATATCTCTTAGAAAATTGAAAGCAACGTATGCTAACTCTTTGTTAACAGTATGCCCATTCGATGTGTTCTCTCTTTAGCTGTGCACTTAACTACGACGATACGTTAACATTACGCTAGATGTACTTGAATCACTCAAACATTGAATTCGCATTCCTAGCGAAGAGTCAGTTGCTGGCATTTTATTTCCACACTTTGCTTGAGCACACTGGCTATCTGGGACGCTGCCGAAACAGGGGCGAACAAACGGGGACGAGCGATCTGTTCATAAAGCACAATGTGCTCCTTGCGTCTAGAAACATTCTATTTTGTAGCCACTAAATACGTTTGAAAAATGTTACATTGTCGAGACAAAGTTTTTAAGCGTTTTGATTTGCTTATTGTGTAAAATAGAATGTTTCTAGAGCGCATTGCCGATTAGGTAGGGGCACAGCGAAGTTGCTTTCGCACGGAAAGCAAAGGGTCAAGCGTTCGTTGCTGTATTACCGAAAGCCTCGACGAAACGATTCCACAAACACGTTTGCGGCGGATAACCTATACGACGCAAGGCTAATTCCTCGCGAGGGATCGTCGGCGCCGCACGAATCGAATTGCCAGAACACCGTCTTTAGCCTTGCAAGCGAAATTGCCCAACATGCCTCACGAAATTCCGTTGTTCTTACCATTTTTTTGGGGAGGAAACGCGCTAATCACTCGACGACGCACATACGCCTGATACGCCTCGCGGGGACTCCGATTGACAAGACACCAGATACGCCCGACTCCGCCAGAGTTCCACGGAATTCTTCATCAGACGGATAATCGTTCACCGGCACGGGTATTTACCTGCGGCATTCCGCGGTCGCGCGCTTACAAGGCGCGTGCAATTAAAAGTTTTCAAACCTGAATGTAAATAAATGAAAGATTGGAACACCTGTAAAATTCGATAAACGTATCGGACTGAGGCGAGCATATGTGTAAAAAAAGGGGGGGAAACTAGAAACTTGGGGGTTCTGTATCTTACACCGTAGTGTGAAAATGTTAAAAGCGAGTAGTTTTGTTTCTTTCTAACCGTCCTCTTAGAATGAGACAAAACCGCTCACTTTTAGCATTTTCACGTTATTGTAAGATACAGAAGTGACCCCTTGGCGATAACAAGCTAGAGGTCATTTCTATAAATTGTCTCGTAATGGCTCAGATTAATTTTTAATCGTAAAAATTTGAAATATTAAATTTCACAACTCAATCTTTTCACGGGGATACACGTTATGTAATATTATACATATAGAGGGAAGCCCCTTATAATGAGATAGGAGCCTAATAAGAGATAGCAGAGGTTTCTACATTGATAGGCATCGTCCGTTGGTTCCACTATGAATTTATTGGTCTTGGAGTGAAATCTGTTAAATAAAAAATTCATTGTTAGATCGGGGACTTAATAATCGGGGGACTTTCCTCTACATATACATGTAGATGTACGTATATAAGATGGAGAGAAAGGAGGAGGTGTACGGTACTACAATAATTTAAACTTTTGTTAAGTACAAATATATATTTATCGCAACCCAACGTACGCAGGGCTATGTCTGATTATCCAAAGAGTGTGCATTTGTAGGAGTCTGTTCCTAGTGAATAATAAACCTTTCTGTGAATCAATGCCAACAATAGCAGGGCAATCGCGTAAAGTGTAAAATATTATTTAACCTTCAGTGATCTCATATATACATCCAACTCGTCTTCAGACTCGTTTTGATCATTGCACTTATTACATGGCGTAACAGTTTCAGGGGCTTCAGAATCAAAATATTTTTCTTCCTCATCTTGATTTCTCAATTCCACGTTATCGTAAGTCTCATTGTCGTCGACAGTGCTGAAAACGAATAATAAAAATATATAATAAAAGAAAGAACGAACGGGTGAAGATATCCCTAGTAGCACAGTGCATTGGCCGGTCTTGTCCAACGTAAAGCAGATATTGGCGCAATATTGGGAAATAATGTAAATCTAGTATTCCTAATATTGGTTTAATATTGTAAAATGGACGCCTTCTCTTAGCCAATATGTATATTTAGCAATATTGGTCTAATATTGATACAATATTTATATCAATATTAGACCATGGAATAAATGTAAATATTGCACGATAATAATTTAATAATATTAGATTTATATTGGAAGTGCGCGCACTTCCAATATCGCGATACTGGTGATCGGCGTGGATCAGAGGATTGTGCGCTGGTCTGGTAATCCGAAGACCTGGGTTCAAAACCAAACAAAACATTGTTGGTTTTTCGTTCGATCGCCACATAGAGAAGTGGATGTAGAGAAAGGTGTTATAAGAGGTTTGGGCACATTCCTTCAAAAACGCCTTGTAACCCTAAGGGGAATCAATAAAATGTATCTAATATTGGAAGTGCATTGGCTAATATTTAACAATGTAATAAGAATATTGTATCAATATTAGACCAATATTACTAAATAGACTATTGGCTAAATAAGAGAAGGCGTCCATCACAATATTGGACCAATATTAGAAATACTAGATTTACATTATTTCCCAATAGTGCGCCAATCCCATATAACACAGAAAGTTAAAATAATGTTGCTGAAACGTTGCAATGTTGAATGTTGAAGTCTAAATAACTTTTCTACGTTGAATCTAGGTTACTCAAATAGATACTTAAAAAATGTATAATTATGAAATATATATTTTTTTTGCAACGGTCAGAAATTTTCTGAGCTAAGATTGGATTATTTTAGCGGAATAATTCAATTTCAGCACTTCCAACAGTTGTAAAAAATATTCTGCTAAACGCGACCGATGTTAACTCAATATAATTTAACAATGTTTTCTGAATGTTGAATCGTAACGTTTACAAGACATTACAATTCAGCGGACATTAGACGTTTTTGCAATATCTTTTCAACGTTGAATCTACATTTCGTAACATTGATGCAATATTGCAATGTTGTAATGGAACGTTTCTGAGATGTTGATTCAACATTTGTGTGTTGTATGGGAATATATTGTGCTACTAGGGATGAGATTGTAAACCAAGTCCCGCCTCTTGGCTTTCAAGCGTAATAAAGAACTCGATTCAAAATTACATAACAAAGCAACCGTGCTATGTATCTGAGAAGTGTAGCTTATTTTTAGTTCTTATAAAAAATTCCAAGCAACGTATGACACAAATGCATTTAATTTGAATTTGAACTATTTCATGCAAATTAAATACCTTTACATAACACTTCAATTTCTTTGATATCTGTATATATCACGTGAATTATAAAAATTCATTACAAAAACGTTATGCTTTCATGACAAACCGATTAAATTTATATAGAAATTAAACAGATCTATAAATATTTTATAGGCCCTCATATATATATGTATATATTATACTTATAGATTGCCACAACATATACCTATAGTCGAAATCTCTATCTTTACCATCCAGGAAACTCTGATACATGTTGGTGACAAATTCTTGCCTAAGCAGCTTTATTTCCTGGCTCGATATCTTATGTATTTTACTGCCTTGCATTTTCTTGTCTCTGTCCTTGTTCTTATCCTTCGTATCACTGAGATCTTCGCCCCACAGGCGACTGCGACTCTGCTTGTCGAGATGTGCTTTTGATACAGTACTGTTCCTGCTGCTGTCGTCATCCTCGTCCGAATCGTTATCCTCTCGTACCTTGTCCTCCTCCGTCTGTTGGGATTTCAAGCGTTGCTGCAACTTGTCCCTCTCGACAGTCTCCATGAGTATATCTATGTAATTTGAGCTCTGCGTATCAACGCTGTCCCTCGCCTTCTTCTCCTCCTCCGTCAGATATTGCCCTACCAGGTGCTCGTACAGCAACGGGTTTCTCTTCATCATTTCGCACTCGCTGAAGTAGTCGCTCTTCTCTACCAGCGTCCTGAGCGCCTCGTACCTTCTATTCCGGACGTCGATGTGCCGCGCGGAATTATTGAAGTACCTCCGCAGCCTGTTGACGTGGTAGACCGTCTCGTAGTCCTGGCTGTCGCCGAAGTGCTCCAGGTGATCTACCTTCAAGTAGCGCCCAAATTTGGAGAGGAAGAGGCTGCGGCTCCTCTCCAACAGTTTCCCGGCTATGGCACGCTTCTCCTCGAACGTCAGCTCGGGTTCCCCTTTCTGCTGGCTCTTGAAAGTCGCCCTGCTGTTGGCCACATGGTCCAGCAGCTCGTTCTCGACATCCTTTCCCTTCGCGTCCGACATAGGCGAGTCCGCGCCTCGTTCATCGTTGCCGTTCTCGCCCGCGTTCATCGCAGGCTCTCCTTTCGTCCCCACAGTCATGTTTTCCCGCAGAGCAGTCCGTACCTCGACGTTGCTCATCGGAAAGTCCAGCCGGGAGTAGGAAACGGAACAAACGCGCTTACGCGTATCAGCGCTTTGTCCCGTGTTGTGTTGCTCGTCGCAATTGGTGCGAGATTAACCTAGAACGCGCGCACGCATATACGCGTCACCCCTCGTGTCGCTTCTCCGTTCGCGTCGCGCGTTCCTGTCGTCGCCGGCGATAAACCGGAGATAAACGAGATAGACAAGCGTGATTTTCCCGTGCACGCGCTCAATCCGGAACATGCCCCGCGACAACTCGCCGGGCAGTCGTCATCCAGGGCTGTGCCGCCGTTCGTCATCGCCAAGGGGAACCTAACCTCTAACCTGCGGGCGATCGCGGGAGAGCGCAGCTCGAGGAAATATGTAATGCGAGCGGGAAGGAAGCGATAAATGCCGCACGGGACTCACTGGCGTCGGGCGTTTTAATATTTATGGAAATATCTCGGTCGAGACAGGTACGTTCCACGAGCACGCCGATCCACACGTCGTTCACCGATGCTGCTGAGCAAACAATCTTATCTGTTCCTATGATTGATTATCAATCAAGTCTAATCGTCCATGGTATCGTATTTTGCAATTCCTCACGTCACCAATTCAATTCGCCGCAATATGCATTCATCGGTTCGTTAACGAAACTGTGCTATTCCGTGGACAGAAGTTGTGCAATAGTTTGAAAATCGGTCTCTTTAAACGGAATAGGAAAGACGTGATGCTTTATCTGTTTTATCTCCGTACGTTGTCACCACCTCGTTCGGTGTCTTTTCGATAAATCTTTCCCGTGCGATTTATGGCCCTGTAACGACAGCGATAGCGATACCATAGGAAACCTATGTTTACGTGTCACTTGTGCGTTTCGACATAAACGATCCACGCCGCTCTCAACAATATTTGTTTAACCTACTAAAGATAAAGATTTCCTCATCATGAGTTAAGTTCAATTACAAAATTGCAGCATGGCGGATAACTGGCTGGCCGACGTGGAGAGATGGAAGTGGAACTGGACCGAGTTATGCGGACGTCGCGGGGACATTAATCCTCTGAATCCCGAAACGCATGACCTGGGCGTGTGTTTCCAGCAGCTCTGCCTTCAGGTAACGCGACGGAATTGCATCTCGCATCGAAGGCGGGAAACGACGGATGTAAGCGCAACTTCCGGTTTATTTCCAGATACCAGTATTAGCTCTCATAGCTATAATTTCTGCGTACCACTGTGGAAAAAGGGATACGTCCTCGTCTCGGCACCAGCGTGTCTATTACGCTCTGAACATAAGGATCCTAATTACAATATGCCTTGTGATATTACCCATCATAAGGGCGTACATTATTCTAACTAATACCGTCATACCTTTGGTGCACGACGAAGCGCAGGACCACAGCACACCAGTGCCAAGAAGACTGGACATATCCAGTCACAGAAACGCAAATCCGTCGGAGAGTGAGACGGATATTATAAGCAGGATACGCGATGGATTGAATCACACTCTTAGATTCGCCGAGTCAATTTTATCACCAGGAGGCAGCGTCGAGGGCACCTCCACGACTCCTGTTGCGTTACACACCGATTATGAGCCGGATATTACCGACAAGTCCACTTCCGCTAAACCGGTGGATTATCTCGTAGCGGGTACCGAAGGTTTAGCATGGGTTGTGCATCTCTGTTTTATCTTGAGCTTGAAACGCGGGCGCAATCCTAACCCACGGGGGCCAGTATCGATAAGGGCGTTAATATTTCTTGTGACCGTCGTCTCCTCGCTATTGTTACGTAGCCACGTCAATAATAAGCCCACAGACGATGTTTTACCGAACTTATCATTGGGATTCAGTATCACCATAGTCGTTCTTCTGATACTGTACGCCTTAACATTGATACCCGGCCCTAGTGGGCCAGAACGGTCGAGAGCGTCATTCCGAAATGCTACAGTAAGCCACTATTACATAATTATCTAATGCTTTCGTCAATTCGCGTTGATTCCGATTGCCCAAAAATACTCGCGTTGCAAAATACTCAAGTGCCTACGGTATCTGAAATTGTCGGATTATCAAGTACACAAAGATATCAGTGAATGAATGTGTTTGTAGGCAGGAGAGCGCACTGCACTACTGAGCAATTCCACTTCTTCGTACGTACAATTTCCGGAGGAGCAGGACCCAAACTATCTTGGAATAGCTATGGAGCATTCAACTGTTATCTCTAAACTTCTATTCCATTGGGTGACACCGTTAATGGAAAAAGGCGTCAAGGGCCAGTTGAATCATTCTGATGATTTATTTGATTTACCCGACCAGATCAGTACTAATACAATCAGTCACAAAATTGACCAACGTTTACATAACATGGTAAACGAGAAGGTACAACAGTCCACAGTTTATTCATGATGCAACTCGTCTGAAATGTTTCGACCACATACGACAGTCGTTTCGTAAGTTAATTCTCGTAATACTAATATTAATGTTGCAGCCGAAAGCTGCGAACAACGGAATCGAAAATAACTCTGAAACACCGTTTCACACTGACGTAAAAGTCGTTACAAAGAAAGTGACGCTGTTCCATCTGCTGCATCAATGTTTTGGTTGGGAATTTTACGCGGTTGGAATACTAAAGTTTGTCGCGGATTGCAGCTCGTTTATGGGACCAATATTACTAAATAAACTGATAGGTTTCATTGAAGATAAGAACGAGCCAATCTCACATGGATATCTCTATGCGTCCCTTATAATATTGAGTGCTGTAATTGGTACAATATCGTGCTTGTTGAAATTTCTTAAACATCTGCCACTTGAGTTACGAGAATAATGTAGGTTTAACTTCAGGTGCCTTTTGTGATGCTCACTTTACGTTTTGTATGTCTGTTGTGGGCATGAAATTTTGTTCTGCGATTATTACTTTAGTCTATCGAAAAATATTGCATTCCTCTAGTACTGATTTAAATCACAAGTTCAATTTTGGTGAAATCGTTAATTTTATGAGCACTGACACCGACAGATTGATGAATAGCTGTCCTAGTTTTCATACATTTTGGAGTATACCCTTACAGGTAATTATGTGATGGTATAATGATATGAATCTCTCTCTCTCTCTCTTTTTTAAGAGAGAATATAGTATTCTAAATTTGGATGAACTTTTCATTCATCACTGTTTCTTAAGAAAGGAAGAAACTAAAAGTATTTATGTTTTCAGTTATTCGTGACACTGTACCTTTTGCATGGGCAAATCGGAAGTTCGTTTTTAGCCGGCGTTGCGTTCTCAATAATACTTATACCAATTAATAAGGTAATAGCAAGTAAAATTGGTAAGCTCAGCACTAAACTAATGGAATATAAAGATCAACGAGTGAGGCTGATGGGCGAAATATTGCGTGGGATAACTACAATAAAAGTTAATGTATGGGAGGAGCACTTCCTACGAAATATCTTGAGTTAGTATGCTCAAATAATTTTTTTCAAAATTAATTAGCCTTTTTGCAGTTTTATCTAAATATCCCTTTTTTCTTTAACGCAGAAATAAGAGAGGATGAAATAAAATATTTACGGGGTAGAAAGTATTTGGATGCACTTTGTGTTTATTTTTGGGCAACTACACCTGTCTTTATCGCAACATTAACGTTTGGAACGTATGTGTTGCTCGGGAATGAATTAGATGCCAAAACAGTTTTTACCAGTATGGCGTTGTTGAACATGTTGATAGGACCTTTGAATGCATTTCCATGGGTTTTAAATGGCCTTACAGAAGCGTGGGTATCTCTCAAGAGAATTCAAAGATTGCTGGACGTATGTATATGTATTGAAATTATAGCACAAACTATTATTATTTGGGAATATCTAGTTTCTGTTTTATTAATTTAGCTATCAGATATGGACGCGTCGTTATATTATACAGATATTACTCCTGACGTTGATTTATTGCTACAAAATGTAACATTGACTGTAAACCGTCCAAGAAATAACGATACTAGTGCAAGTTCAAAAATTGTGAGCACTCCATCTTCAAGTACCGACATTAAAAAAAGCGTTACCTTCGAAGATGATGAGGTTTTCGCCTTACACAATATTAATTTATCTATACAAAAAGTAAGAATAAATATTATTGACACTATTTTGAAAAATAAGATATATATTGTTTTATATTCATATATTTTGTACAGGGACAGTTGATTGGTATTATGGGCCAGGTTGGATGCGGAAAAAGTTTGCTCTTAGATGGTATCTTGGCGGAAATTACAAAAACTAGTGGAATAATAGCGGTTAACGATGACCACAAAGGTTTTGGGTACGTTAAACAAAATCCTTGGCTACAACGTGGTAAAATCCGAGATAATATTCTGTTCGGGAAACCATATGATCACAACAAATACAAGTAAGTGTAAAGCAAGTGTCGCGAAATTAATACCGATGATAAATTTTTATGTCAGATGCAATTTAACATTTGCGATTAAAACAGGAACATTTTAAATGCTTGCGCACTCACGTCCGACTTGAATTCATTACCTAACAAGGACTTAACGGTCGTTGGCGAGGCCGGAAATACTTTGAGCGGTGGCCAGAAGACAAGAATTTCCTTGGCTCGCGCTATATACGCGGATAAAGACATTTATTTGTTGGACGATATACTAGCGACATTGGATGTCAAAGTTGCCAGACACGTTTTCCAGCACGTAATTCTGGGCTTGTTACGAAATAAAACCAGAATACTGTGCACGCATCAGACTCAATACTTGGTTCACGCAGATTTAGTGATCGAAATGTCGAAAGGAAAAATTATTAATCATGGAAAACCGAGCGACGTATTGCCCGATCTGGAAGATTATCTCTTATCGTCGGATTCTATTGAGGCCGACGTGGACATTACCTCTATAAAGGCGCTGCCAAGTGAATTTAGTCGTTTAGAAGAAAATGAAATCGATCCATTACTCGATAAGGAAGAGACCGAGAAAGGAATCGTACATTTCTCAGTGTACACGTCTTACGTCAAGGCCGTAGGACGATACTTGGCGATCTCGATATTTCTCTCTATGATTCTGATGCAAAGCTCGAAAAACATTACGGATTTGTGGCTGTCGTATTGGGTGACGCATACTAACGCCACGGCGACTAATTCAACCGACACGTCCAGCCTGGGGAAATTACAACTCTATTATGATAACTACGGTTACCACAATACGAAGTATTACTTAACAATTTATAGCCTGTTAGCTGTGTTCAATTCTATTTTCACCTTAATTAGAGCTTTCATCTTCGCGTACGGCGGGATACAAGCAGCCGTAACGATGCACAAGCAACTTTTGAAGATAGTTATGCGGGTGAATATATGAGCTGGAGATGTAAAACAGTTGCTATCGATTAAGAATTATTGTAAAAATATCGTTTCAGGCACGAACAATGTTCTTCGATATTCAACCAGTCGGTAGGATCATAAATAGGTTCTCGTCCGATACGTACACTATCGACGACTCTTTGCCTTTTCTTACTAACATTTTGCTGGCGAATCTATTTGGCCTGGTTGCAACCATTATAGTTACGGCTTACGGACTACCGTGGATCTTCCTCATATTAGCGCCCCTTGTACCCGTCTATCATTGGATACAAAATCATTACAGGTATTATTTTAAATTTGTACAAAACATATTATATAAATATACTAAGTTCGTATTTGTTGAAATTCATATTTTCAAATTATTTTCCAGGTTAACATCGAGGGAGGTGAAACGATTATTCAGTATCTCGTTGTCTCCCTTGTTCGCTCATTTCAATGAAACTTTGAACGGCCTGAGTACTATCAGAGCGTTTCGCACTGTACCTCGCTTCAAACAGGAAAACGAGTTGCTACTAGAAGCCTGTCAGAAGACGAAATTCGCCTCTTTAGCCGCCAGTCAGTGGCTGGCACTGAGATTACAATTTATCGGCGTCGCTCTTTTAGCCGGAGTTAGCCTCATAGCAGTTTTGCAACATCAATATGACATAGCTGATCCTGGTTTGATCGGTCTAGCGATCACGTATGCGTTGTCTGTAACTGGATTGTTGTCTGGGGTAGTCAACTCCTTTACTGAAACTGAGAGAGAAATGATCGCGGTGGAGCGAGTCAAACAGTATTTAGAGAACGTGCCGACTGAGAATGCAATAGGCGATAATCCACCTTACGCGTGGCCTAGTCAGGGTGTCGTAGAATTCAGAGAAGTCGTTTTGAAGTACAGGTAATAGCTTTGAACTTTTGGTTAAGAGTAAATACGCGCTTACGACATTTGAGAAAAAATATTATCACATTTGCAGAGATTATTTGATGCCATCGCTAAGGGAAGTAACGTTCGTCACGCGACCAGCGGAGAAAATAGGCGTCGTTGGTCGAACTGGCGCTGGAAAAAGCTCATTGCTAGCTTGTATGTTCAGACTGACAGAAATCACTTCCGGAAGTGTATTAATTGATAACGTGAATATTCAAACGTTGTCCTTAAAAGCGTTGCGGTAACGTTTCATAAACTTGCAAAGCACGACCACTGTTAATAACTGTGTGCGTTAATAATTGTAAAAAAATTATTTTAGGTCTCGTTTAGCTATTATACCTCAAAACCCGTTTCTCTTCTCGGGCACCATTCGAGAGAACGTGGATCCGTTGGATCAGTATACGGACATGCACATATACAAAGCCCTCGAAAAGTGCAAGGTACATTCTTTAGTTTATCGATTGGGTGGGTTGGGCGCAATCTTGGACGAAGGTGGCAGTAATCTCAGCGCCGGCCAGAGACAATTGTTCTGCTTAGTCAGGGCTGTGCTACATAACGCTAAGGTATCTCTTATCCATAACGTCTCACTCGAGAAAGCTGACGATCACTCGCGTATCAATAATTTATTTATCGCCCAGATTGTCTGCATCGACGAGGCCACCGCAAATGTGGATCAGGAGACGGACAAGTTTATTCAGGCGACAATAAAGTCTTCCTTCCAAAGTGCGACGGTCATTACCATTGCCCATAGAATAAGAACGATTATGCACTGTGATAGGTATTTCAACTTTGAGATTTACGCGTTCGCTCAATCAATAATCCGCGGACACAATAGAGCAGATCGGTTTTCGTGGTGTAATTAGCGTTAGTTTTTGCTCAAAGATCTACTTCTCTCTTCCATTCAGAGTCCTAGTGATGGGAGATGGTGAGGTGCTGGAATTTGACGAGCCGAATTTATTGATTCAGAATGCCGATTCCTACTTTTACCAGCTGGCCAACCAAGAATTTGCAGATCAAGAGTGATTAAGCGTATGAGGCAACTGGATTGTGTGCAATGAGTGCGTCCAGTATTATACGTGGTGATTAATGTACATATAATGCATTGAATGCAGGATAGACTGTTTCCAGAGAGAGATAGTTTCCTACGAATATGACAAGATTGTTTTCCTCTTAATAAGCTAAGAAAATTACATTTAAGAAAGCGGACATTTTTTAAATGAGATATTTAATACAATTGTTACTTTAAATTAATCTTAATGAGATTTAACTAATGTAAATATGATGAGATTGTTCATCAACGTAAATTATTTTATATATAAATTAACGTCTAGTAAGTAAAAAAATTGAATATTTTCATCAATCTTCCACGATTTATATAATTTATACATTCAGAGGATGACCTTTCGGCAAAAATTTCATTGAAACGTTTATTTAGGAATATCGATTTCCCGGGGCTTTGTGGCTGCTACATAATTACGGGAATACTTGAATTTACACTGCCTCGCAACAAATGCGTTACTCCGACTTGTGCTCCGAGATTCAGTTTATCCGAGGAGCGCGCGGCCCGCGCGATTTATATCGTAATTAGAAATGCCCGCAGTTAAAGGCAAACGTTTTACAATAGTGTTTCGCGGAGTTAATTAAAGCTCGGTGGCGCGTGTGCACGTCTCTCGCGAGCCACGTTCGCGTCTGTGTACGCGTCTGTATTTGTGCGAGCTCGAGGAGCGGCGTATCCCTATGATATCCGGTATTCAGCCATTCAACGTTTCCGCGCATTCGTCGTTACAAGGCGACAAAAACTAATGAGCCATAGCGCACCGGCTAATTTGCTCCCCCCCTGTTTTTTTTAATTGCCCGATGTTTAGCAGGATATACAGCCCGTGTCGGCACGTCGACGAAAACGAGACGTCTCGCGCATTCGCGTCGTGCCGACTGAATTACGAGAATGCGAAGAGAGGTACGGGCTGCTTGGGTCGGGAAACAAGCACGATTCACGGCGCTAATGACGTCGTTCATTTTACACGATCGGTCGGCCTCCCGCGGCTCTCCGCGATGCAAGGAACTCCTCGAATAAGCTAAACTCCGCTCGCCGCCGCGGTCGAGAACTATTCTCGACGGGGAGGATTTTTTTTCTCCCCCTAGAAGAATGGATCGACTTCGGAAGTTCGATATTGGAAGAATCGCGTTTTCAGATTTTCAGTTTTTATCCGGCAAAATTGGAGCGCGAATTCACCGTCGGCGGTGTTCGGAAAATTATGTATGATATTTTGCGTTACATATTTAATAGCCATTTAAAATTAATTCTAGTTAAATTGGTCATTCTGGTTTGTTAATATTGAAAATACGACATTTCCATAATTGTTCCGTTATGCATACGGGAGCGCTATTTTATTCCGCCTATTTTCGTAAAAATCCGAAAATTCGCCGGGGAGAAGTGTCTCGAGCAAAAGTCAGCTCGTTGCTTTATGAACTGTTGCGGATATCGGCGCGTGATATAACTCCGCGATAAGCCTCGCTTTTAAACCAAAATTGCCTGTGCTTTGCGGCGAGAGCTCACGTGTCTCAAAGGGAGCTCCACGACTGATGACAAGTAAAAAGGAGAAAAAAGATAACACGGCATGATAGAACCGTTAGATTCTCCCTTCGGCTTTGTACTATGTTATCCGAAGGTATTCGCGGTAGGAATACTTTTGCAACAGGGCATTCCAGCTTGCAAAAACATCAGCGATTCGTGTGGCAAAATCAAATTTCTCCCTTTTATTGTGCGTCTCTAAAATTTCTCATGTGATTAAATACGATAGTCATAATATTTTGTCATTTTGCGTCTTGAAACAATTTCGTTAAATAACTTGATCAGCGTCATATTTGAATAATGAAATTACCGAATTGAATTACGTAGGCTGCAACTAACGTCATAATATATTTTAATTTTTTGCTGATTTTTCGCTGACACGCAAACGCAAAGAGAACAATATAATTGTAATTTGCAAGCTCTACGAAGTGGAGACGAGATACAGCTCGAGTGAACACGTGTCCCCGAAAGGTCGGTTCATTAACAGATTACGTCAGCTTCGTGAAATATTTGAAATCTCATCGTAGACGCGGCGGCTTGTCCGATCACGGATGGCATGCAGGTCCTTCGCCCTTACACGCCTCTCAGCAGACACTCGAGGCCCTGAAGCATAGCCACTATATCGTGGGGGACTGGCTGGCTACCCCAAAAGTGCACCTATCTGGGGTTGGCTCAACGAACATGCAGCCCTAGAGATCAACGCTAGAGCACGGAGAGCGAGAACAAAAGAGATAGAGAGAGAGAGAGAGAGAGAGAGAGAGAGGGGGCGGAGGTGTTCACCTCTTTGATAACTACCAGGCGCTATTATCCGATTCGAGTGCAATTTCATAGTAAAACGGTCGCGGATATTAAATCATAGGCGGGCGCAAATCGATAGGCCGACCGCAGTATGCAGTAACATAATTACCATTTATTACCGCAATTTATACGACACGGACGTTGTTGCCACGAACCGCTGCTCAATTAAAACTGAGGAACGCGACCGTGTATAAGCTCATGCACGGAACCGCGTTGAAATGTTATTATTTTACCCTGCCACGGTATCAGATTTGGTAGGGGTGTCACTCAATAACTATAATTACTGAGGTTCACCTAAAACGTCCAACCATTAACGTATTTTGTTATCGTCGAATTAATTCCTGTAATTATTATTACATTCTCAATACATCTCTTCGCGGGTCTCGCGAGTGGATCCATAAAGACGGATGATCGATTAAGGGGTCATTCCACTTTAACGGCCCAAAAACTATGCTTATCTGTAATAATTTTTTTCACAGTACATACACCATACAATGAAATAAATTTTTTTGAGATTTATCAGGGCACTCTTAAATAACAAAAAAAATTGTTGTCATAATTTTAACAATTTTTTCTTAAAAAATTCTTAATCTATATGAGTGTCGCTATGTCCCGAACCTCAATTAAGAATTTTTATTTGAAAATAATAAAATAGTGCCAGTTTAAAAAAAAGTTGTGAAAAGTATTACTTTTTAAAACTTGTTTTAAACTGGCACCATTTTGTTAGTTTTAAATAAAAATTCTTAATTGAGGTTCGCGAAGAATCTTTTTGATTTTTTGTTTCAGGTAAACCTGGATGAATAAAAGCGTCATCAACGCAGCGGACTTGCATCTTTTTTGACACGCTGTAGAACACATTCGAACGGTGTAGAAAACGCTTAATTAAAAATTGTTTAAATTACGACAAAAATTTTGTTGTGTTATTTAAGAGTGCCCTACTAAATCCCAAAAAGATTTATTTCATTGTGTGGTGTATTTACTGAACAAAAAATTGTTAAAGATAAGCATAGTTTTTGGGCCGTTAAAGTGGAATGACCCCTTAAATTAGAAAATACATATTCGCAACAGTTAATAATTTATTCATCCTCGGTTCATCGCGTCACGAGTCCGGATTCGCTTGAGCCGAGATTAAAACGCGATTGTACGCGATAACGGGGGATAATCCTGGATAAAAAAGAGAATAAATGATATCGCGGTGACACGGGCGTCAAGCAGAAGGATGATTACGCGACCATATATCTGAATTAGGAACGAGCGTCCATAACTCATTACGCTCACAATTCTCTTTCGTCAGACGGTCGCACGCCGCTCGCATAAATCACAATTTGCCCTACTGATGGTCGCAGGTGGACAGGAATAGCGGGATGCAGATCTAAAAAGCTATGATTGCGCGCGACGCGGCACATGGCTGGAACGTGCGATGCGTGTAATCGATCTCAGGCCGATCTTTAGCGCCGGTAATTACAACCACGACGGTTCTCTCTCTCTTTGCCTCAATCAGTCCAATAATTCTTCTTGACACCGGCGGGTCTAAGGGCAAATGGGTTAAATGCACCAATTAATCAATTTTCACCACCGAGAACTCGAGGATATATTATTTTTTGCTATATTCTAAAATAAAGAATCCACGCGTATTTTTATTCCATTTAAACGTGTACAAGGTGGAATAGAAAATTCTCATACGGACTTCCTTATAACATCCGAAGAACTTTCTTGATAAAAATGCAACAGGGGGGAGATGCAAGAGGGGGGAGGGAAAACTTCAAAATCGCGTATTCGACAGTTCTGTGTACGGCCAGCAACCCTTATCGGCGCGCAGTTCACAAAAGTCGAAAATATACGCGCAGACAACATCTTTATACTGTTATTGCGCCAAATATTATCATGCCTTGGTGGTCGAATTGATGAGACGCCCGCCTAGAGTGCAGGGAGGTTCAGGTTCAAACCCTGGTTGAGGTAATATTTTTCGCAATAAATTTTCCGTATTATTAAAGATGTCAGGTATGGTCAAGAAAACACTGACGTTGAAAAATGCAACAGTTTATGATAGTTTGCGTTGCCTTTTTTCGGGATTTCTTTCGAGCACTTTAATTATTCCGTCAGCATCAAAGTATCACTAATTTCGGAAGGTGTGCCGTTGTAAATTTTCCTTTAGACTCGCTGCGCGAATAACATTCGAATATTTTTTAAAATAATAAGAAAGAAAAGAGAGAGAGAGAGAGAGAGAGAGAGAGAGAGAGAGAGAGAGAGAGAGAGAAATGGCAAGTAGGGTAAGATGTGCCGGATGATGGATATAACGCGCTTGTTGGCTGCTTTTACCATGATTAGTGCGTGATGCAATGGAAAGCTGCGTGCACACGCGAGCAAACACAAACGTCGGGATAGCATCGACATGTCCGAATACCATGTGCGTAAACTTCGCGTTCGGGTTACAAAAGTTAACTCATGCGAGGCACCGACGACCAGGATACCTACTGAATTATCTATTATAGATCACTAATTTCTAGAAACCATGCAGCAACTCTCCAAGCAGCAACTCTCAAATCATACGAAGACAATAATTGGAGCATTCGAATAAAGTTTTTTAATATCTCTTTTTGCATTTTTTTTGTAAAATGTTTTTAACATAATAATCTGCTAAGAAATGATTTAATATTCGTAAGCTGTCAGTGCAAAATCATTAAGTATCAAATAATTGTTAAAATAAGATACAAGTTAATGAGTAATTGTTCGTTTATATATTTCTTAAGCTCGATTGGCAACGGGTTCTGATAATTTTTTTTATTGTTTTACGACGTACATTTATTGTTACACTATTACGTCTTTCCGGAAGACGGGATTTCAGATCCACCGCTCAAAGATTAAAGATACGCGTGTTACGAACAACTCCAAGCAAAGTTTCGCGTAGCTCTCCGCGCATAGATCTGCGTCGCTCGTATAATGCGAGCCATATTATACGGTTTGTCGCAGCGA